TTATCCCTCACCGGACCAATGTGATTTAACTTAACATACCAAAACAAAAAAAACCTGCAAAAGCCTTGTACAAATTCATTTGGGGATTAAAAATTTCTGTCACTACTAAATTATAAATGATTGTCATCTTTGAACTTAAAAAAAAAAGTTAAGTACAGTTTAAAAATAAAAATTTAAGCAATGAAATGAATATAATCTAAAAGTTTTGAAAGATATAATGTATAAACCTGAAAATCGACAGATTTGCTCATAGAAGAAAACATCCTCCCACTGTACACTTCTGCGTTCCACCATGGCTGCTGTTGGTTCTCCATTATTAATGGCAAGTGAGAAAAGAAGCACTTACTGACTTACTACCACCCACACTTGTCTGCTGAACATTTGAACACATTAGAGAGAACGGGTGTGCGTGTGTGTGTACAAAGGTAGCACAATGAACACTACAATCAGGGTAGAATTTCCCATTCTGAAAACAAATATGACCCGTAGTCGTGCTGTGAATCAATACAGGCGTGATTCAGTGAAGCAAAGGGTGCCTCCCTTTCACTACACACAGATATTCACAAACACAAATGAAAACCTCTCGCAGGTCTCAAAGGTAACATCCAACAAGACTAGGTCCAAATGAGAGTGCTGACATTGCCTTCCTTTGTTTCTTTTTACTTTCTTATTATCATTATGCAAGTAAAATATCATCTTTTAAAATCACCTCCATTCACCATTGATGGTTTCTCTCCAAGCTGGCCAAATAGACTGTGTTTTCTGAAAGGGACTTCCATTGATTTAAGGTGCTGATGCTGCTTTTCTCTATGAGAAAAGATCAATACAGGCTCGAGCGGGACTTTGCACCATAGCTTCACATTGCAGTCCTCAGAGCAAGAAGATGGAGTGTGTCCCTGTGAGTGAGTGAGGGAGTGAGTGAGAGTAAAAAAGTAATGTTTCTGTTTTACTGTCATGATCCTGGATTGTGGGATGAGACATTACATGTAGTAGATATTTACATTTGATCAAATTTAGTTAAATAGTTTTTGTGATTACGTTTCTTACCATGCAGTATATAGGAGTACATTACATTAGGTGACTGTTTTAAGGCAATTGCATTATATTGAAATATCTTTGTTTTAATTGCAGTGCAGCATCTGTCAAAAGTTGGGTTTGAGCCTTTTAGAATTAAAAATTGGGAGGCGTTTGTGAAGCTGGGATAAACTGTGCGAGCAAATCAGTCAGTAATTTAACCCCGTAACGACTAGTGTATTATATTTGATACATACAGTTTTTGAGACTTCAACATTTTCACTGTGATTTTTTTTTTTTCTAAAAAATACAAATATATTGGATAATACACTTTTAAGAAGTAATTCTTTGCCAGGTGTAGCTATCATATTTGCTCAACTTTGTTTGTTTTTTGCAAATTATTGCAAATTTAATATTTTTATAAATGTCAGGAGGTTCAATAAATTCTCCATTTATTGGCAATTATTTAACGGTTCAAGTTTGAAGGGGTAAGAAGAATATTTGTCAATGTAAAATTCTGAAAAATGTACATTTTTCATCACATGGTCCCAAGGTCCTCCTTAAAAGCAGACATGAGCTTTTCTCAGAAAGATCTAAAAAAAAACTACCATCAGTGCATTTTATCTTTGCATCTACAACTAAGAAAAACATATTTTCATAATTACCAGAGCTGTTTTGGCCTAATAATTTGTTAAGCGCTGTGTATTTAATTTATTTCTCTTTTTTTTCCTGCATCTTTAATAATCAAAAATATTCATATTCCACCCATGCCTAGTACCACTTCCTCATCTTCTTAATATTGAGTTCATTATGTACTGGGCAGGTGAAATCCTTTATCATGCAAGAATGTGAAGACATTCTGCTTTGAAAGTATGTCATGAGCTCGGTTGTTGTTATTATTTCTCAAATATCAGGCATTATTAAAAGAAGAGATGAATGCCATATTTAAAAGTAGTTTTCCACTCTACCCTAAGGTTGCACTGTCCCAAACCCACGTGCACTAGTGCACAGTAGTATCTTACTACCAGACAGCCTGGAGGCAGAGCATCTCACGGGAGTGAGAGGATGGAGTAACAAGTTAGTAATCAGGGGAAATACTCTGTAATTCAATCTGAGGGTTAGATTTGAGGCAGTTTCCACCTAAGCCCCAAAACTATTTCTTCAGTATTCAGTGACTGAATGAAGCAAGAAAACAGAGACACCATAGCATGATTTCAAACTAAATTGTGAGGGTAATGTGAAATTAAGAAGAGTGTATTACTTCCTGAAATTCTCTTATGAAGCATGAAGTTCTCAATCACTGCTAAACTCAGGTGTAGGCAGGTTTCATTGCTGCAGCCACACATGGACTGAGTCATGATCCTTCTTCTACCTGGAAATCACCGCTTACTTTTAATTCTGATTAAAATGCTTTTAATTTCAGTCAGTGTTAATTATATTTATTTTATTAACACTTTCATACACACAATGCTGTTTATATTTAAAGCATTTGAACTTTCATATGTAAAATGGGGAAAAATCTTTTGAGGAATATGATAGTGTAGTTAAACTGTCAAACTGATGAATTTCTTTGTTTCGTTTTTGTTTTTTAACTTTTCATATTTTCATATCTGTAACTCCAACCTGTGTAGAGCTTATATGTATTTTAGTCTTCGAACAGTAGGGCAGCACTTTCTTTCTTCTAATACCAGATAAGTTTTGGTGAGAGGTCCAATTTCTGTTTTCACCTCTGCTTTGAAAAGACTCATCTTGAACACCTGCTGAAGTATTTAAACGCCATCTGCATTCAGGTTGATCAGCTTGATCAGATTGTTTAGTTGCTCTAGTGCTCAAGTGAAATTTGTTAAGTTATAGAGCAAATACTTGGAGTGATATATGTAAACTATAGCCAAAACACACACACAATGAAATTTTGTTTTATGACTAAATAAATGAAAAACAGCAACATAAGATTTTTTATTTGATGTGTGCATGTACATGCTGCAATACTGTGAAGAGCAGTGTTCCTTTGTGTGGACTCCCTTTCACAAAATAAAAACATACACTGTTAAAAAAAACCCTGCCAATCCAATGAAAAGCCTGAGACATCAGTAACGGGAGATTTGATCTTTGGGGTGACTCACATAAAAGCAATGCAGAAGGCTGAGAATTCCCATCCATCACGCCTTTCACACATACGCATGAATCACTCTGTCTCCGTATCTGCAGTGTACAAGCAAAGCAATATACGTTCAGCATTAAAATGATATACAACCCCTTCATACTGCTGCACTCACCGACTCCATCCAATTGGCTCTGCAAGTCACATTCTTCCGTCAGTCCCAATCTGCCGGCATGAGATTTAACCGTTTACAGTTGAAATAAAGTACTCTCTGCATTTCACAAGTCAACATTACTGCGCTGCATGTTTATCAATTTCTTTTTAAAATAAGTATTGATTAACTATATGATAAATATTTTAAAGTGTAACTCTTGGAGAGCTGCTTCAGTATTTTCCTCCTGCCAGGAACTTCATCATTTGTCCAGTAAAGCCACGATCCCTTCTCTGCACATGTCAAAACCATCACAGCTTTGCCTCTAACATTGTTTCCAAAGCACTGTGAGACGTCACTCTGACATAATCATTTCTAACCCTGTCCATCATGGTCTCTTTGTCAGTGCCACCATCTCCAAACCACATGTCACAGCAGGTCTCACTACCATCTTGTAAACTTTCCTTTTGACTTTTGATACTCTTTACATTTTCATCTTTCCACCTGCCACTCTCTCATTCACACACACGTATTCTGTTTGCTACTACTGACTTTCATTCCTTTTCTCTCCAGAGCATACCTCCACCTCTCCAGGCTCCACAGAGTCCACAGAGACCCCTGCCTGCTTTCCTTTGGCTTTTCCACCTCTCTTTTTTATATTATTAGCCTCCAGTACTCTGTGCACTTTATTCATCTTCCTGACTGTCCCACTGTTTCTTCACTAACCTTTGAGTGTTTTCTTGCACTTCCTCTTTCCACCACCAAGTCTCTTTGTCCTGTGTCGTCTGCCCAGAAGATACCCCAAACACCAGTAACTTTTCCCCACCACCCAGAGCTTGTCTCAACTCACTTCTACTTGTTCTTGGTGTCCAAAGTCATTCTACAGACTACCATTTGATGCTGCCTAACTACATTGTCCCCATGAAAACCTTTGAGGGTTAGACTTTTCAAAGAGCCACAGGTTAGAGTGTGAATAATTATTGGTACACCTCAGCGCTTCAGTGTATATGCCGAAAGAAAAAACAGCTCTGGAGAACATGCGGGTGTTCTATGTCTTCAGTGTAAAATATGTACAAATCTGGACATTTTGTAAGTAATTTTTTCAAGACCTTTTCACATTTGTTTCACCCATAAATGGGAAAAGCATTGCACTTTAGTACATAAGCTCAGTGAGCAATGGTGTATATGTATCTTGAATTTCACACCTTACACTCAATGTGTGTGAAGACTTGTGTATGTTCATGAGTTAATAAAGGTTTTTTTTTAATCATCTATTTCTTTTTTTAAATGTTAAATCACATTACACAAGATCAGCAAAATCCATTGATGAGCCTGACTGATCCAGGATGATTAGTTCAGTAGTTTCAGGGTGTTCATAATTGATAATAATCAAACAATTTGGAGTGCTTCAGGTGCAGGTGCAGTAACTCAGGTTTGGGGCAGTCACGAAGTTTTCGTGCTGCTTGGTCTTATGGTTTTTCCTACACAAACAAAATAAAGTAAAAGAGGAAGAACTGGACTAATTACAAATAATACTTTACAGGGTTCCTGCTACATCACTGTTTGCATCTCTAGCTTTATCCAAGAACTCATAAATATGTAGATGAAAATCTCCACCCCAAGTGTATCCTTGGTTTGGCTGGTTCGACAGATCTTCCTAAAAATGTTCTGTTTGGTCTACTACCTAATATATTACATTTGTTTAATAGTCTTGCTGCTTTTGTGTGTCCCCAGTCCAGAAACAGTCTCCAGGCGGGGGATATAGACGGGGCCAGGAGGCTGGGTAAACTGGCTCGTCTGCTCAGTATCTCCTCCATTGTCTTGGGCGTGGTCATGATCACAGTCTACGTCTCAGTTTCAGGTACATTAATTGAATCAAGCAGGACAAATTTTTGAGGACAGTGATGTTATCATGATGGTGTCGAGTGTGCTGCACCGAGATTTCGATTGAGGTTTAAAGTGTAGCTGTAGGAGGAACTATCTATTCAGAAGGGCAGTCCAAGAAACATCTGCCAAGGCAGCTCAGTCTCTCGGCAGAGTGGTCCTGTTAACTCATTTTGTTTACTTTGTTCTTTTTAAACATACGTTAAGAAGTTTGTAGTGCAGTAAAAATGAGATAAGAGTAGCATGACAGATGTTTACATTGATTACATTATTGTCACTTTGTCTTTTATATCAATCTTGAAGGAGAGGTCAGAGGTCAAACGTGAAAAATTTTAAATTCTTATAAGGTACTTTCTATATGTTGACAACACATCCCATAGTTTCTAGGTTATAAGGCTTTTTTGTCAATTTTCAACCAATAAATCGTTAAGTTGACCTTGAAGATAAGGCCCCTCTACACTCAAAGTTTTATCAAAATCAGAATCCAAAACTTTTCAAGCGATCTTGTTTACAGACAGAAAGAATGACATGCTTCAGATGTGTTTCCTGTTTTCAAGTTTGCCAACATCTGTGTGTGTGTTATATTTACTTTTGCTGCAATCATAAGTGTGTGACATACTTCTTCTCTTTCCCTTTTTTTACAGTTTCCAAATGAACTCGCGAGACATGATCTTTCAGCAAGTAAACAAATGAAAAACACCATTCAGAGATGCATGTATTAGAATCTGGTTAGCATTTGCTTGACAAAAATAATGAAAATCCTGATGTAAATCTGTCAGGTTAAAACAGAGGAGGAAGAAAATGCAGATTTGTTTGTGGTCAGAAGGAACCCCGTGTGTTTCCCAGTGTGGAACGTGGACTTCTCTCAATGAAGACAATAATCTGTGTATGAGGAGAGAGCAACTTTCTCTGTATGTGATGGAGCTTCTTTCGAAAAATGGATTTGGGGTTTGGTCTCCAAACTTTGGACAGCTGCATATAATCCTCATATATTCCTTATCAAATCTTTTGCATTCAAAGCATATACAGTTACAAATATATTTGAAATGTGGATAGAAAAAAATTACATATATACATTGTATATGTACATTTTATATAATGTTTGTATGCCAAGCGGTGCTGGGTTTGCTAAGGCTGTCATAGTGGCTGATTTCTCAGTACCTGGATGCTCAGTGGAAACTCAAAGGTTTGTGAAAGTGGGCAGGGGACATAATTGTTTTTATTTATTATAATTTTTCATTGAAAACAAAAAAAAACCAAGACCAAGTGCATGCCTGAATGTAGATCACCGAACCTCTGCCTTCATTTTGACTGTTATTTCCATGTTTCTTACCTTTTCCAGGAGTCTAGCAGGTTTGCACATGTGAGACTGTTTTGTGTACATCTAATTATTTACCACAAACATGACTTAGTCTCAGCTACACCTTCAGGTGTTGTTTCTCCTCACCATGTTCCCTTATAATTAATTTTACGTGTGTGCATGCACGCGTGCGTGTGCACGTGTGTTTGCTGCCTTTCTACACCATTGGCATTGTTATACAATGACTGTTAAATGTCACTGATTGTTTCACTGAATGTTTTTTCCAGCTTGTTGTATTGGTATAAAATGTATTTATATAGGAAAATATATATGCAATATGTACGCATGCTATGGGCCAAACAGGCTGACACAAACTTCTTCTTTTTTTAACAACGAGCGGGTCTATAAGTTTAACTTAGTAACAATGAAAAGCATTTAAACAAAAAACACAAGCATTCTGTAAAGTTCAAGCCTGACAAATTGTCTGTATTCATAATTTTATCAAAGAGATGCAGTTTATTGTTCTGCCTGTGGATACACATAACAAGTATGTTACAGTGACATGTACCAGGCTTGTGAGCAGAGATAAAATTCAGTAACACTATGTTGCATTATTCAGATCATTTGGATAGATTTTGGGGGCAATAATATTATTTGGATGGCTGGTTAATTTACATTTTGTATCATTTTCATTTTGATAAGTTACAGTGCTTGTTTTCACTTGCTCATACAGTTCAAACAAGTGAAACCTTACAGCTATATTATGCTGCTAAAGTGATACTACCAAGTCCTCAACATCATCAGTGAAAGGATGTACAACTGCTAACTGTCGAGTTAACAGACTTTCAAGTCCCCGTTCATACTCGTGGTTGTACAAAAAGTCACTTTAGCAAAACATTCGAAAGCAGCAAAATCCAAAGATGCCCTACTGTTTACTTAGTGCAGGCGACAGCCCTGCTGTTTTTCTTACATCTACATTTTTCATCTGGAACAACTGGCGAGCACAAGCCAACTGTCAGTAAAACAGTTCAAACTTTTCCACTTCATTTCCGTGTATTAATGTGTTTCCTTTCCAGTATATTGTATGTGCCAGTTCACCTCTCTGTGGTGTACATTTTGCATGTCAGGAATAAACATTACCATGCATGGTCCAAGTTGTGCCTTCTCATAGTAACTTCTAATTCAACATGAATTGTGTTGACCACAGCCATGCTAGCAGCTTTCTGAGTCTGTAGTCTATAGATAGCATGTTGTTTCAGATAAATGTAAATATTCCAATAATTATATCAATAAAAACACCAACATGTTGACTGCAACGGCGATCGTGGCTCAAGAGTTGGCAGTTCGTCTTGTAATCGGAAGGTTGCCGGTTCGAGCCCCAGCTCGGACAGTCTCGGTCGTTGTGTCCTTGGGCAAGACACTTCACCCGTTGCCTACTGGTGGTGGTCAGAGGACCCGGTGGCGCCAGTGTCCGGCAGCCTCGCCTCTGTCAGTGCACCCCAGGGCAGCTGTGGCTACAATGTAGCTTGCCATCCCTAGTGTGTGAATGACTGAATGTAGTGTAAAGCACTTTGGGGTCCTTAGGGACTAAGTAAAGCGATATACAAATACAGGCCATTTGTCACTTAGACCTTTATGGGTCAGACCCCAGTTTGCCTACAGTTTACTCTCTGTAATCCGTAGAGACGGTTGTGTGAGTTGCTAAAATCACCTTTCTTTCTTATTCTGATGCTCGAGTAGATCTTCAGCAACTCTTCATGACCACGTCTACATCCCTAAATACCTGAATGCCTTGATTTGCCATGTGAATGGCTAATTAGATATTTGCCTTCTTAATTTTAGTTGCTAAGGCTAAAGTACGAACAGAATATTGTTTGTTGTAAACTGAGGTATTATCATTGATCAGATTTAAAAATCTGCTCAATGATTGTTTTAGAAGTAAAGGGACACTTTTACTATTGTATTCTGGCAAGAATTTGACGTTTACAGCCAAAACATATTCCACTTTATCTACTAATTATCAACGCGTTTTCTTTAAAAGCTTAATTTTAGTGGTGGCACTAGAGGTCAGTCAGTCAACAGCCAAATTCAGGCAGCCTGACTATGAAACTGAATTTTTTTGAATCACCCAACTTTCTTGCATGTCCGTGACCATCTGTGTTTTTCTCATGACTGGCGTCTAAAGAAAGAAAAAAAAAAGGCTTTTCCCACAGACAAGAAAAAAAATCCACTGTGGTACATTTGTGAATGTAATATTTGTGTATTGTTCAGTTTTCATTGAGACTGACAGAAGAAGATATTGATATTGATTCAACTCTGCACTGGTGCTGTTGTCTGCAGTCCTGTATTGGATTGCACAGCTGTTGTTGCTTTTATTGTATCTAAGCCCTGTACATAGGGCATACACACTTCGACTTCAGGGAACACAAACACCATTTATCATGGTCACCACGGCTACAGACTGTAGAGTAGGAGAGAATTTGTGTGTGTGTGTGTGTGTGTGTGGGGGGGG